GCCCTCCTCTGCTCCACTCACTTTTGGTGTCAAGTTCCCACAGCCCCTAAAAGGAGGAAAGGGGCCATGAGGGAGCAGCAAGCTGTACAGGATGAAAGAGTCAAAGAGATGAAGCCCATTTCAGGAGAAAGGGTTAATATTGAGCAGACTGAGCTGCCAGAGGAGCAGGCTCAGGTTAAGAGATTACCACCATCAGCTTTCCCAGGAGCCACCAAAAGCCTTAGATATCAAAATGCTTGGTGCTTCAATAGTGGCAAATTCAGTCATTTAAAAAGAAATTGTGACCAAGCCGCTAAAGTTCTGAGAAATCAGTACATTCCACCAGAGAAGTGAAGGAAGCCATTTCTGGGTTCTTGGCAAGAACCAGAATTTGTAGACGTTGTGATAAAAGGAGTCATTTGACTAGTGCATGCATGTCCAAGACAGACATACAAGCTAACTTGCCATTAGGAAACAGCTTTAGAAGCCTAGCTCAAAGCTCAACAGACAAGAGCAGCCTACAGTTACCAGAAACTATTGATCAAAAGAGCTTGGAGTTCCTGTCCCTTTTAGGTCTTTCTATCTCCCTCTTCTTCCATAAGGATTCCGGCACTCTGCCCAAAGTTTGGCTATGAGTCTTAGTATCTCCTTCTATACCCTGGTGGATAGAGTCTTTCAGAGGTTCTCTGTGGAAGGCTCCTGTCCTGTTCCTTGTCTTCTTCTTCTTCTGATGTCTATCCTGTTTGCCCTTCTGAATGAGAATTAAGCATCTTCTCTAGGGTCCTCCTTGTTGTTTAGCGTCTTTAGGGCTATAGATTTTAGTATGTTTGTCCTATATAATATCCACTTATAAGTGAGCATATATCAGCCAAAATACCTGGGCCCAGGGGGCCCTGCAGAGACCGACACTCCAACTAAAGACCATGTATAGAGAGGACCTAGACCCCCTGTTCAAAGGAAGCCCATTGGCTGCGCAGTTTCCAAGTGGGTTCCCCAGTAAGGGGTACAGAGGCTGTCTCTGACATGAGCTCAGTGGCCAGCTCTTTGATCACCTCTCCCTGGGGATGGGGGGTGCAGCCTTGCCAGGCCACAGAAGAAGTTGATGAAGCCAGCCTTAATGAGACCTGATAAGCTATGTCAAATAGAAAGGGAGAAGATCCTCCCCTTCAAGGAACTAGGGGGAGGCAAATAGGGGGAGAAGAGGGAGGGAGGGTAGGTGAGACTGGGAGGAGACAAGGGAGGGGGCTGCAGTGGGGATACAAAGTGAACAAACTGTTAAAATAAATATATAAATAAAATTAAATTTTAAAAAAGTGTTTGGTTTCTTGATCATCTCTTTTAAAGAAAATAACAGTAATTCTCATTCATGCTTTTAACCATTTTTTTTTTTTAAAACAGAAAGGGGGAAATGATGTGGATGTAAATATGTTTTTGTTTTGATCCCAGGTATAAGATATGAGACTGATTCAGATGGTCTATAGCAGCAAACTATTTGCCTGGTGCAGGCTCTGAGAGGGGCTCTTTGCCACCTGCAGACAGTGTAATTCTGAGAACTATCTGGAAAGAAAATAAAAGCCAGAGTGTTCAGGAGCTCTGAGAGAAAAGGTTGCTGGTGCTCTCCTCTGATGCTGTTGATGCAGTTTGATAAGGAGATGTCCTGAAACGAAGATTGGACTTTCCACAAGGAATCTGATGACCCAAACCAGCAGGAAGTAGCTAAGAAAAAACACACCCCTTCTCCCCACTAACCTTTTTTCTCTGGTGTTGGGGTGTTGGAAGGGATTGGTGTGGAGTAGGGAGGTAGAGGTATTAAGAAACTAAAATAAAATAGAGTTAAAAAGTATTCCTACAGCTCACAACCCTGAGAATGTCATGACCCCTCCCACATTTCAGGATCCTTGTAGCAAACCCCTCTGCTTATCCTGGGCACCCTTTCCTTCAAGAGGTCTTCCCTGATGTGTTCAGGCTCCGTGACAGGCTTAACATAGAGTATGAAAGCCTCTATGTTAAGGGCTTTCTCTATATTAAATATAGAATAAGTACCCTCTAGTTACGACTTTGTATACATTTTCCTACTAGAAAAATGAGTATTAAAAATTCCTAATTTAGTCCTCTTTGAGAAAGATACAAACTTAATTCCAAATTTATTTCAGCCTATGTACAGAGGAGTCCACTTGTCACTCGAAATTTGTCTACTTCTTGTCTAGAAAAAACGTTTTTTTTTTTTAAAGCTGAAATAAAGCTTTTCTTTTCCAAGTCTTTACTTGTGAATGGGTATGAATTGTGTGACCAACTTCAACTTAATGAGATGTGAGTTGGAAGCTGGTATTGTCCGTTTTCTTCTGCTAGAAGAGAATGCAGCTCTAGAACAGACGAGGTAATTTAAAGAGAACTTACATATCAAAGTCCTGAAGTCTGGTAAGTCCAGTGTCAAAGTGCTGGTATATGGGAAGGCCTCTGTAACATGATGGGAGCCATTCTCTACCTAGAGAATGCATGTGCAGTGGAGAGGTTGCCATGACAACACAGTTGGGACAGCAAACCCTCTCTGGCAACCAGAGCATCAAGGCCAAATAGCCTTTGAGAGCACACCTGTTTCCACCACAGCAGGCGAGGGCCAGAATGAGTTTTATAGGCAGCATTCAAACCACAGCAGGATGCATCAGGATGCAGTTTTCTAAAAGAGTGCTCAAAGGATAGGCCCTTTCTCGGTTCTTCCTTCCTCCTGACTTGACTGTAGACGTGGAATCCGGAAAAGTCTAAGCAGCTAGCTTGAGCCAGCAGATCTTTCCTCTAGCACAGCTATGACACAGGAGGCCCACAGGGGGCCACAGTTGTGAGGAGCCATGCTCCCCCCAGCAGTGCTAACCACTGAGCCATAGCCTGTGCTGATGTCTACATTCACTCAAAAGAGAAGCAGCTGTTAACATCAGGCCACTCAAGGCAGCTGAAGGCATTGCCTCGCTAGGACAAGAACCTAAGTAGAACACATCAGGTTCTTCGCCAGTCTATTAGCAGAGCCGTGAGATTTAAACAGGGTTTCAGCATGACCCGTCTGGTATTCCCCAAGTACAATTTAATAGAGAAGCAACCATTTACACTTCCAACACACAACCGGAAATGACTTTCTGAATAGTTAGATGAAAGATTACAGGGCAATGGAGATCTAAGGAAAAGATACAATGTGTTGTGCTTACTGTATGGGTTTATTTGTTTTATAAGTCATGCTAAATACAAAGTTACTTTTTGTTGTTTTTTTTTTCTGTGCTAATGATCAAACCCAGGGCCCAATGCACCTTTGAGTACTCTACAGGGAGCTAAGCTTCCAGCCTTGCTTTGTCCATTTATAGATGCATGAGCCAGGCTGGCTTTGGGCGAATACAGACTATTAGCTTTAAGACAGTGGTTCTCAACCTTCCTAATGCTGTGGCCCTTTAATACAGTTCTTCATGCTGTGGTGACCTCCAACCATAGAATTATTTTTGTTGCTACTTTGTAACCATAATTTTGTTATTGTTATGAATCATAACATAAATATATGACATGCAACCCCTGTGAGGGGATTGTCATCCACAGGTTAGAGCCACTGCTTTAAGGAAAGGAGAGCAATTTATTAGAAAGTTAAAATAAATTCTTGCTTTCTTAATTAAAAATGCTGGATGTTCTGAAAAAAAATTGTATTTATTTATCTTTCCTTTCTGCCTCTCTGCCTCTCTGCCTCTCTCTCTCTCTCTCTCTCTCTCTCTCTCTCTCTCTTTCTGTTATTTGGGCATATATATATGTGGCAGTCTGGTGACAATTCATGGGAGTCAGTTCTCTCCTTCCACCATCTGGGTTTCAGGAGTGGCACTCAGGTCAGGAGGCTTGGTGGTAGCATCTTTACCCACTGAGCCATCTTGCTGGCACTCTGAATGTCTTTCAATGTATCCCATTAGTATGTTTACTCTGTATGGTAGAGAAGCAAGGAATAGCTGGCTTCAATTATTTGTGTTCTTAAGATGGCCTTGGCCAAAATATATGAATGTTAACCACAAGTGAGCCTTCCTGCTTACCAAGGCTGCTTGGCAGGCATTCTGTGCAATACTATGAACTAATATTTTGTATGAGTTAACTATATTGCTGAGCCTTTAAATGGAAGGTACATACAAAGCATCCCACTGTTTCCTTAATGAATTCTTACTGTCCATCCATCTTTCCCACAAGCAAACAAACCAAGTTTTTAATGATATGAAATAAAATACTTTGTCAAATAAACACATCAAACTTTAAAGCCATTTCCTGAGTTTCCAGATCACTCAGATACAGTGGTCATCTCTCTCCCACAAATACAGTAGAAGGAATACTTCGCACATCTCAGAGCCTGTCCGGGGCTAGGGCTGAGGCAAGGATATGGCTGGCGTCCCTGTACCCACACCGAGTCCCTAATAGGCAAGCACAGTGACCTTCTGGCTGAGTGTGCAGAGTGCTTGGTTTTGTACAATGCCACATTGTTAATTCAAGCATCACTTCCTGAAATGCACAGGCCACAAGCTCCATGATGTGCCAAGCCACACACTCACATACTGGACTTGCTTTTTTGAAATTACAGTAGGAGCCAGCTCAGGTATTCCAGTCATTGAAGAGTGTAAGATATAAAAACTTGAAGCAATGTGAGATTCAGGAGGCAAAGATGCGCCGGGTAAGACAATGGCCCCTTTATTGAGAACATACCGTGGGTCAGCACAGTTCCACCATGCAAAACTATAATTATCTTCATTTTAGTAAAGATTTTTAAAAATTTTATGTATTTGAGTGTTTTCCCTGTATGTATGCCCATAGGGGTCAGAAGAGGGCATCAGATCCCCTGGAACTGGAATTACTGATAGCTGTAAACTGCCGTGTGGCTGCTGGGAACTGAACCCAAGCTCTCTGGAAGAATATCAAGTGTTCTTCCCCGCCGAGCCACGTCTCCAGTTGCAGAACTGTATAATCTTAAAAACGTGTTGCCTTCCCATGGGGATGAGGAAGCAATGCCAAGTTACCTTTCGCATCTGAGCCAACAGTCCTTCAAACTCCTTCAGGTTCAGTGTGGTTCCACTGTAGGAGGCGCAGCTGTTTGCAGCTTTCCCCAGCCAGTAAATGGTCACTAACACCTGTGGAACAAAATAATGCATGAGAGGGGAAGGATTTGTCCTGAAGAATGATATTTCAACATGGGACTCAGTAACGCCCCACAGACAGCACAGCAGGAAGGGACAACTCAGCGACGCTGACTTGTGAAAAGCAGTGCATGCTGTGGTAATGAGAACCCAATGAATGCTCTCTCACTTGACCCAGACACACGATTCAGTCGATTCAGTCGAGTAAGTCTCCAGCTCTAGGAAAAAAGGAGGTTGTGAGAAAGTGATCTCTGAGTGAGCGAGAAGGGAAAATAAATCCTCCAAAATGACATTCTCATAAGGCAGCGTTTTCCCACAAACTCTTCAGAGTCTTTACCTAGATGAGCAATGCGGGAGACTGTCAGCTCCATTTGAGATGGGCGCTTTTGAAGCCCTGTGCTTTCTACTTGCGTGTGCATGGAGAGACTAGTGGGATGGATGGCAAAAATCCCAAGGGAGTGATAAAGGTTAACGAGTACTTCCCAGCACAGGACCGACACAGCCCATCCGCGTGTAGTCAGAAGACGGCAATGCACAGAGAATGAAATCTGCTGCTCTCCCGCATCAGAGCACTGCCACGTCCCTATTAGTCTGAGATGGGAAAAATTTTAGCCTTGACACGGTTGCTATCAATTAAACAAACGTGGACGCTGTAGAATGTCTGTGACTATCCAATGGTCTGAGGTTATTGGCCTACATTAGTTTTGTGCTGTCTCTCCAAAGAATCGTCCACAAAAGCACAAATGTTCTTTACTTTGACTTGGAGGAAAAAGGAAACCACCAGGGGCTGGCTGAAGATGTGCTCCTTGGCTGAATTATAGGAAGACCGAGGAGCAGAAGCCCATGCAAAAGCTTAGCCTTCATGTTCACATCTGTCTTTTGGCTTCCTCTATGCTGCACTACCTTCCCTATGGTGGGCCAGAAAATGGTCTGGATAATGGAACATAAGCAAATGGGTCCAGCTGGCCATGGGCCTAAAGTATAGCTGTGTGCATGAGTACTATGATGTGATTCAGTTTTCTACTTCTGTGGGAAACTCTTACATCATGAATCCTTCAAAACTTCCAGAAGGTCTTTTATTAACTGGGTTCTTACAAATAAATTCCCAGAGAACAGACAATCCCAAATGTCAGGACATTAACTAGAACCAAAACATAACTAGTGTGTGCTGACTGAGACCCCATCTGGGCCACAAATGGAAATGGCTAATGTTAGTGTTGAAGCCGATCGTTGTGTGTTTTAAGAACATGAACTGTGCACGGAACACATGCTTTCATTCCTCTATTTCTAGACTGAACTCTGAGTAAAGAGAAACCCCCAGATCTGCTATTTTTAGTACCAGCACAGTATTAGCTATTTTATAAGAAATGAATATACTTTTTGCCTAAGAAATAATTTTTCTAATAAGGCCTATCAGATGCACAAATTTTAGCTAAATGTCAACCTTAGACCATTAAAGTCAAAAGTATACAAACGTAGAGAGAGAGGTCAAAACACTTACGTTTTTCAGCTTCCTGCTATAATCAAGGTTCCTAGGTCAGGAAAGGAAAACAGAACATTATTAGAATAGCAGTTTCTCTGGTGTAGTCTTTCCTTAAACACCTCTAAGACACACTTGCAAAAAGCACATAAAACAAGGCCAGAAGAGTATTGCTGGGCTTTTAAGGCCTATAGCTGGTGGTTTCAGCTACAGCATAAACATGGTGAGAAAAAACAAAACAAAACAAATAACAAACAAAGAAACAGGACCACGTAGGATTGAAGTTGTGCAGTACGCCAGGAAAGATGGATGCTTTTTCACATATGGAAGATGAGGATTCTGTTTAAAATTGGGACTTATAGTTGAACTTGACTTGACTTCTGAAGATTCCTTTTCGAAGGAAACGTGATCACATCTCTCAAGTCTTCTTCATACAAGTACATTTAATACAGGTCTGAAAACTTAGTGAAATAGACTTGAAGATACATGGATAAGAAGCAGTTCTGCCCAAACATCTTTTCCCTTTTTCTGCTCTGGTTACAGATTAGAACAAAAAATTGGCCATAAACAAAGAAGTATACATGTTATTTCCAAATGTATGCACATGGGTTCTTAGATACACACAAGCGTTTATTCCCCAGCTAAAAACCACAAAAGTTCTAACTATTCACATCATAAAATATCGAAATATTTCAAAAGGTATTTAAAAACTCCATGAATACACCGACAAATAAATACTAGGAAAACAAGTGCTGGATTTCTTTTCTCTGGTCATTTTGGTGAGGAATGGGGTGTAGAAATTCCATCATATAAACTGGTCAAGAACACCTCAAAGGATACTTCGTTCTGTTCTAATCCACCAAACTCTGTGTGATGAATAGACGGGCAGTTTTAAGTTGACTGATATTTGAGGGACTAATGTTTACCTCTTCTATAGAGAGGAGCACAAGGTTAGGTGTTTCAGTAAAAACATGCATCCATTCAATTTGCATTTGATCAAGGAAATGTTTTTATATTTTCGAGTTTAACAGGAACAAAAAAGCATGTTATTCTCAGTTTAGATATATTCTATATATATTTTTTTCACTTAACAACAGAGAGATGAAGAAATTCAAGAAAGATCTAAAAACAATTATAGGGAATATGAGCCTTTCCCTGCATTGACAATAAAAGTTCAGTGACTGAAATTGTGAGTGGATGCTAAAAATTGTATGTGCCACACAGTAGGGCCCCACAAAATATTTCTAGAGTGATTCCACACAACTACTAATTACCTAGAACTACTTCCCATTTTTTAGAGAGACTTCCTGCCCCAGGAGCCATCCACAGCCTTTCCACACTCTGTGTGGCTGGGATGACTCCCGGGAAGGCCTTTGCTTTGCGGCTATCTGGGTTGTGCTTTCATTTCCATCAACCTTGTCTGGCATTCATTACAGGTAGAGTTCACGCAATTACACAGTCTGTAATGCAATGATTTGCAGGCTTTTTCCTCTTTAAAGTTTTTCTTTCTCTTTCTTGGCTATTCAAGTGTGGACAGAAAGGGTAAGAAAAATTACCCAGAGTAGTTTTGTTTTTTTTTTTTTTTAAACTCAATTTTAAGAAATACAAATTTCCCCCATGGACTCTATCCCTTGTCCTATCTCTCCTTCCTGATGCTACTGACTCATGTCAGAGTGATGCTCTCCCTCTCTGCATCAAGGTGCTCAGTTCTCAGAAGGGAGAGCAGAGAATCACAGTGGTGGCACTCAGATCTAGCTGAGCTACAAGATCGACACCTTAAAAACCAGTCCCTGACTAGTGCCAAGTTAAAGCAGAGTCACCTGTGAAAACACCGTGAAGCATGCATGTTCCGCTCCTACTACACTCCTGCTAAAAGCAGAAGCGATGCCTTGCTAAGCTCCACAAATGAACTTGCGACGTAACTTTAGTATGGATTCTATACAATTTTCTAAATGCCAACCTAGTGAGAGAATCTTTCTGAACAGCGATTCCAAGTTCAGCGTCCACCCACTGCCTGTGGATGACTGTTCTCACCACACCTGACCTTCATCACGACCCTCCAACCTTACTGGGTTCTTCGCCTTTTTTAAGCATCAGCAGCTTCTTCTTCCTTGGCCTTTTCTTGCTTTTCTTCCACCTCAAAATCTCCCAAGGCTGATACTTGCTTCTCATTCTTGTCTCAGCCTGAGTCCTCAGCTGAAATGCCACCCCTTCGGGCGGGCTATCCTCGGCCTCCTCCAAATGGACTACTGTCTTTTTCATCTCACTGTTTCATACTCTTCTCAGTACCCTCATTCACCATGACTATTTTACTATTTTCTTTCTTTCTTTCTTTCTTTCTTTCTTTCTTTCTTTCTTTCTTTCTTTCTTTCTTTCTTTCTCTCTCTCTCTCTCTCTCTCTCTTTCTTTCTTTCCTTTTTTTTTTTTTTAAAAAAAAAAGATCCTCCTGCCTCTGCTTCCTAAGTACTGGGATTACAGGATATAACACCACACCTGACGTTCAGATACCTTTAAAAAGATTTACTTTTAAATTATATGTATATGTGTATATCAGTGTATGGGTATGTGTGCATGAATGTAGGTAGGCCATGGAGGCTAGAAGAGAGAGCCAGATCCTCTGCAGCTGGACTTATAGGAGGTTCTAAGTTGCCTAATGTGGGTGCTGGGAACTACCCTGAGATCCTCTGCCAGAGTGTTACCCCTCTTAACCTCTGTGCCATCTCTCCAGGCCCAGGAGAGACGAGACTCAGCCCATTGCCCAACCATACTCATGCTACATACTGTTTGAATAAAGTGGCAAATGTTTTATATGACATCACAGGCTCTGCAGAAGCCTGTAGCTCTGAGCTACAGACAATTTATTTTTGCCATCCCAGAAGGATGGATCTTCTTATTCTGCTCATGAGCTTTCTCTTTATACAGAAACTCATCCAAATGCAAGAATCCTTTGGCTCCAAATATGGTTCACTAAGTAGATACAGGCAGAAGTGGCCAAAAGGCCAATGATCAATCTCAGAAAAGCTTAATCACTGTCACATATGAGAAAATGGTTACAAACTCAAATGAAGGAGCCAGCTCGCCTCCATAAAATGCCTTCTCTGCATCATCAACAGCACTCGGTTTGTTTACTTCCTGTGTAGTCTGCCAAGAACTATTCAACTGCCCATTGGAGCCAATGAAATGGATGCTGTCTAAAGCACATAGATTTTGTGCATATTTCTCTGCAGTCTCACTTCTAAACTTTACTTAACATTTTCTCTTCTTCAAAATTCTGGTTCTACATGCATGTGAAAAATGCTCTGTGCAAATGATAGGACACTGTGCTGTGAAAGCTTGATTTTTGCTTGTGCATTTTGATTTTATTAGGCACACCTAATCTTCTACCTCTTAGAACTTACAACATCCTCACAAAGCTGCAAATCAAAACATCAAGGGTTTCCTTTAAGCATAAATCAGGCATTACTCACTTGACAGTGACCCTGTTAGACGTATCCTGGAGGTCACTCGGGTCAAAGAGTTGAGATTCTTTAAGGCCAAGCTCTTTACAGCCTCTCAAGAATAAGATGGTATTGTCCTGGAAGGAAGGAAAAGAAAAAGCCTGAGTTATTTAAGATTATCTTTGTGAGTCAATCCCACTTCATTAATAGTCCAAATTGCTGTCAAGATGCCAGCCACCATGGCTGCTAAAGTCACATCTAAACCATGGTGTATCACACAACAAAACTGCAGTTAGGAAACACCAGAATAAATAAATAAAGACACTTCCAAAATCCTAGCCACGCCAAATTCAATTTTCCCTTTAGGTTGATACCTTTGTAAACAACTGCAAGTCAGATGCTGCTACAAAGGGAATTTAGCATCATTTTAAGGAACAGCACTTTTAAAGAGTCAAGTATTTTCAACTGCTTCTAAATCCTTTCCTCGTGCCTTACTGCTTAGAACTTGGTATTAATAGATACTTTAAAATATAATTAGAGTTGGGGGAATGGGCTAGTTGGCAGAATGCTGGCTGAGCATTCATCTGAACCTGAGTTCAGATCCCCAGTACTCAAGGAACAAAACCAGGCATGCCAGCATTTACCCGAAATCTCAGCACTAAAAGATAAAAGGTAGAAGAATTCCTGACTGGCTAGTTTGTGTACTTGGTAAGCTCCAGATCCAATAAGAGACCTTGTCTCAAAAAATAAGGTGGACAGTGGTGTTGGTTTGGATGAGAATAGACCCCATAGGCTCATATAGTTGCATGGTTAGTCCCCAGTGTTGGAACTGTTTGGGAAGGAGTAAGAGATGTGACTTTGTTTGAGAAAGTGTGTCAGTGGGGATGGATTCTGAGGCTTCAAAAGGCTTCCACCATTCCCACGGAGCTTTTTCTGCCTCCTGTTTGTGAGTCAGGATGTGAGCTCTCAACTGTTCCTGCTGCTGTGCTTTTGCATTGCCATCATGGACTCTGACCCTTGGAAACCATAAGCCCAGTTAAAAACTTTCTTTTATCAGTTTTGTTGGTCGTGGTATTTTACAACAGCAATAAGAAAGTAACTAACACAACAGCAATAGAGAAAGATGTATAATATTGACCTCTGGCCTCCACTGTATACACATATATCACATAGATGCATGTGGAATAGCACATATTCATGTACACACAAACATACAGCAAAGTAAGACATTGTAACACCACAAAATTCGAAAGTAATAAAAGATGTTGTTGCCTGAGGTACTCTCACCCTCAAGTTTCTCTTATTAATTTATTTAAATACATCGTTTGCAAATTCTTCTCCCTCCATATAGTCATTATGGGCTTTGACTGAAAACACCTTTTTAATGGAATGTACAATGAATTAAAGGATAAAAGAAATCTAGACCCTCCATCTTCTCTCACATTACACTTACTCTATCAGCCTCTCTTGAAAACTTGGGGGGAGGAAGGTCAAGGGGATACGGGAGAAGAATGGGGCTAGCACAGGGTATAATGAGCAGGTATGTATGAGAAGGTAGTGATGAAAGCCACTACTTGGTCAGCCAAAAATTAATTTTTAAAAATTAATTAAAATATCTAGACTTGATTGGCAAGGAAAACGAGAAGCAAGTGAAGCTTCTGAAAACAATGCGAAGACCGTCCTCGGGGTGAACATTCCCTGGCAGGCATAGGTTTACTTTGAAGCAGCAGAAGAGCGGGACTGGCTGACAATCGCCCTCACAATTAAGACGGTTCTGTCTGGGTTGCCCATCTGTTGGACTTCTTAGGAATAAAAGAGCAGTTCTGAAAGCGAATGCAAATTGTGGGTCATCTTTTGAAGCTCCCGGGACAACTGGTCAACAGATTTATTGCTATGAATCTGTAACTGTCCTCTTCTTGAGAGACTTCCAAAGGTGCTGATCGACTCCATCAGTTTGTTTAAAAAAAAAAAAAAAGTGGGACAAGGAGTATCGGTTCCAGGAGCCACATTAATGAGAACCCCTCTGAATGCTGAAAGAAACTGCTGTAAACACCTGAACTCAGGGTGGTGATTACCCCGTTCACCCCAGGTAGTTCAAAGGGAGTGGCAAAGATGGTGTTTTTAATTACCCAGTGTGTAGGCAGGACTCTCAGGCCCCCAAGAATCCTGCCTCAGATGTACACACCTTAGGTAATCTCCCCTTGAGAACAAGTGAAGCCCATGACCATGATAAGATTATGGCATTAAACAATCGCCTCTAAGTTAACCAAGAGAAGGATTATCTGATTGGCAGTGATGTAATTAGGGATCTTTTAAACAGGAGGTGACATGAGAGTTCCTGCTGGCCCTGAGCTCCACAGCTGCAAAGGCTTGAATTCTGTTCACTGCCATGAGCTTTGGATAAGGGCTTGGAAGATGCTCAGAGTTTCAGCCCTACTGGCATCTTGATTTCAGCCCTGTGATATTCTGAGCAGGGAGCCCCTATCCAGACATCTAATCTGTAGACAATGTGAAGTAATAATTACGTATTGCTCTGAGATGTTAGTTTATGGTAATTTTCAATGTAGCAATACAAAAAACTAACATGCCTGGGCTCTAAAGAACAATAGTTGAAAGTCATTGGCCTTCCTATGGCCCATATCATGGGACCAACATCATTCCAAGGGCTGTGTTTATTACATTAATTTATTCAAACTCTGCACACCTTATCTTCAATTGACAGATGAGTGATCTCCTGCCTAGAACAATTATACAATGGTCCAAGGTTGCAATCAGCAAAGGACGAAGGCGGCAAAACAGTGGGTTATGTCTGACAAATCCAAGCATGGAATTTGAGGTCTGCACCAAAGGACAGTGGGGCTGCTGCGGGTAGGACTGATCTCAGAGGGTCTTACAGATGTAGAAAACAGGATGCAAGAGTCAAGGGCAGCAACTCTGAGAAGTGAGTACCCAGGTGGCAACTGGAAGGAGGATGGTTGGGAGTGAGTCCAGAAGGAAGTCAACACTAAGCAGGGAAGATTTAACAGGCAAGTGGGAAGACACGGCAGCCTCTTCTAAAACTGAGGTGCCTTCATCCTGGTGTGTTTTCCTTCTTGTATGAGGTCCAGGGATTCTTGTGGAGGCAGGATGTGTCACCATCCATAAGCCCTGTGCCTCTCTGCACATGACCTCTTTTGGCCAAGGCTGCACCTGTCCCAGCATATCTGAAGCTGTCCAGTTCCTCGCCATTCACTTCTTTAGTTATTTTCCACATGTTCACACCTAACTCTTGAGCTTTCATCTTTTTAACAATATATTTCATTACGAAATTCTGTCCTAGGAATAGATAGATCAAGGGAAGAACAAAATGGTAAGAACTATATCAAGTCTCCTTTAAAGGACCCAGATTTTTCAATTTATACTCTGACCATGCTATTATTAAATTAATTAACCAATTACTTTCATTTTACATTTTGAGACAGGGTCTAATTCTATGACCCAACCCAATACTGAACTTCCTACATAGGCCACTCTGGCCTTGAACTCGCGGTAATCCTCTTGCCTTAGCCTCCCAAGTGATGATATTACAAGCATGAGCCACCATGACTGACCAGGGGATGACTTTAAATATATCTTTCCTTTTAATAATGTTATTTTGCCTTAAGATGTCAGTTTTCATTTGCAAAATAAATCATTTTGTATTCTTTTTCAATTCTCTTTTCTCTGGTTAATGTTACCACACAAGAATATCTATATCTCAGGGAACTTTAGTTCAATACGCCATCCCGCTCGCTTGCTTCCAGTTCTCTCCCAGTCTCAGAACATGTACCTTTCCTCAATATCCAGGCCTCTAAATTGGACCATGAGGTTTCCCAGAAAGCAAAACTTCAACTGCTTCACCCTAGAACAGAGGTTCTCAACCTGTGAGTCATGACCCCTGTGGCAAAGCTCTGTCTCCAAAAATATTTGCATTGTGATTCATAACAGTAGTAAAATTACAATTATGAAGTAGCAGTGAAAATGATTTTATGGTTAGGGCTTGCCACAACATGAGGACATGTACTAAGTGGTCACAGCGTTAGGAAGGCTGAACTGTACCACAATGTGGTGATTCTCACTGGAGTGGGAGAAGCAGTCAGAGAGGCTCGACACATGAGGAATATTAACTGGCACATTTACATAAATGATAATTAGAAAAGCAAGGAGAAACACTAAAATGGTGTCACTAATCTTAGCATGTATTATGTAAAAAAAAAAAAAAAAAATGACCGGCGTAGTTTTGAAAACCGGGGAAGTACTTTGTCAATACGAGACTCAATGTGTACCAGTGAACTCTTTTCACACAGGCTTCAACTTTCAAACTTTAATGACCCAACAGAACATTTGCAGCCTGTGTGAGCCAAGCATTTGCCTGAATTGTCCCTGCTCTGTTCTAGGCAGTGGGATCGATTATCTTTCATCATCCAAACAACCATATGGGTCAGGTACTACCGTCTCCATTTCCCAGATGAGCAGTTGACGCACAGAACAGTTATACATCATATAGAATCAAGCAGCTAAGCCCCAACTAACTCATCACAAGGGTGGAAATAGGGATTCTTCAGAGGCAGAAA